CATAAAAGGATCCCCAACTATAGCACAGGAAATAGAAGTCAGTGATGGTGAGAAAACAGTTGTGATACCTGTGGAAGAGGGTAGGCAGCTCAGGGCCCTTTCAATCCTTTAGGTTGTTTTTTTTTTTTAAATCCCAGACTCCCTTAAAAGCATGAGTACTGACAGCAAATTGTAGGAACTTTCTCAAAAACATTTGTAGAGCAGCAAATGACACATAAAATAACTGAGGAATAGGATACATCTGAGTATATACGGTATCTCCTCTATAGAGAAAATGCGATCCTGTGGCTACAGCTATACCGCAAAAGACAATAATTTTATGTTGCACAATGCAATGTTTAGTTTAACTCTCCCAAGAATATATGAATTGTTCAGTCCTTTCAATCATATAAATCTGAGTTTAAGGCCAAGCAAGAGAATTCTCATTCCTTTCATAAAGATTTAATAATGCCTAACACCATGAGGCTCATTATAATACAGAGATGTTTTGAATCAGAATAGGAGAAAATGAACAAAGCTAATTCCCAGTGAATAGCAAGCTGCACTGGGTGGTAAGACAGGCTAATTTTATGCAGTGGCTTAGACAATCTGGATGCACATTGCAAAAGGCCACCATTAAAGAAATGCTATTGGCGTCAGAGTCCATTATAACCTTTCCATGATTGAATATTCCTACCATTGGGCAGGACTTAGTGTGATAACAAGAAGTTGTGCTCTCACATAGTATATTAAGATGTGTTGAATAATGGTCTCCATCAAAACAAGCGTTAATATTAGTCATCTTCTTTGAAATACTCTCCCTAAAAGGCCCCAACTATCCTGCTTCATATTCACACCACATAAACATGTGTTTATTTTTTTTTCCTGGACTTTACATTTTCTGTGATGTTGCTGCTGTGACATCATTTTAAACAGGGTATGTTTTTAGGGTTAGGGTTTTAATAGACCCCTGTTTTATGGATTTGGAGTTATTTTTAATTGTATGTATTATGATTTTATATTTTAGCATGCTTCTATATGCATCTTGCCCTGTGGACCATCGCTACCATGTAACTAATAATTGTGGAAATTAATAGAATAAAACTTGCTGGACTATGACTGTCGTTCTTCCCAGTCAGCATGACATTTGACCCTACTGGCTGAAATCATGAGAGAAGCAATCAAACACATCTGAAGGGCAACAAGTCACAGAAAGCCAGTCCAAACTATCATTCCCCATGCCGTGCGTCCTGTTTCAATTTTCCACTGAGATAAGCTTATGGATTTGCTCAGTAACCTAATGCATTTCCTCCCATGAAATTTTCCCCAGAAATGAGTTTCTGTCTGGCAGGAAAGGAGGAGGGAGGTTGAACATGAACAAGAAGGCCACTCTAATGCAGGAACACAAAAAAGGGACTGTCGTGGCTGTAGCCTTTGAAACAGTGGAGGGTCAGCAGGCGGGAACTGTGTCCCGACATCTTCCATCAGCTTATGCCAGGGGTCCCGAAACTTGGCAACTTTATGACTTATGGACTTGAAGTCTACAAGTTGCCAAGTTTGGAGACCTCTGGCTTATGCTTTCAGACTCAGTTGTTTGTCATATCCTCTTGAAATCAACAATCTGCAATACTGATAAGACGATAACACCCTGCTCATTTATGCTGGCTGCAGACACTTTGACATCATGTGTGGTTTTGCAACAGGTCTTCTAGATTGTATCATTATATACACCTGCTCACAAATGAGATGGGATGATGCTGTTTTCAGATGTCAGAAAGGCAGTTGGTGAACTAGTTTTGGAAATGGGTGATCCAACCATTTCTACAGCTTGATACATACTGTTTATCAACCGAGCAGTTTTTAAGAAGTCTTTTATAAGACACCACAATGCTACTTAGTTTAATACTAAGTTATGGAGTATGAGGAGGCACAGTTTTTTTAAAAAAAAAGGGAGGGGAAGGAGCAGTCAAAAACTACAGGGTTGGATGCAAAGTAATTATTGAAGTTTAACAGAATGGAGACTTTTTAGGTGGATGAGATAGACAGCTTGGTGCATTAAGCTGAAAGGAGGTTTATATATCATTATAAAGAACCCCCCCTCAAAAAACTGGTTGGAAAATGTCTCTTTATTACTGGGCTATCACAATCAGAGTTTCAGTTCCATACAGTTTGATACAAGCTGTTTATCAAGCAAGCAGTTTTTAAAAAGTCTTTTATAAAACACCACAATGCTACTTAATTTAATACTAAGTTATGAAGTTTGAGGAGGCACAATTTTTTTAAAAAGCAGTCAAAAATTACAGTGTTTGATGCAAAGTCATTATTGAAGTTTAACAGAATAGAGACTGTTTGGGTGGATAGACAGCTTGGTGCATTAAGCAAAAAGGAGGTTTATATACTATTTTAAAGGGTTTTTTTTCCCCTGCTGAAAAAAACTGGTTGGCAAATGTGCCTTTATTACTTGGCTATCACAATCAGAGGTTCAGTTCCACATTTCCTAAAAGCTGTATGAGAAGCATGTGGTACAAGGCATGTGGGTGGTCCATTTCTGTTTTTCAAGATCAATTGTATTTATTTCACCTCTTCATTTGATCAGCATGCATGAGCCTATACCTTCCCGAAAGCCGCTCACAAATTCATGCAAGCATCCAAACAGATACTCTTTTGTTTTGTGGTTGGAAAGTGAAAGGAATGATAGCTTGGTGTTCCAAAAGACGTTTCCCATAGGAGAAGGGTGGGGCAGATACTGAGCTGGCAGAGAAAACTTAAGAAAATGAAAAAAAAAAAAAAGTCTGCTGGAAAAGAGAACTTGTAGAATTGGAAGAACTAATGGCTGGCAACCTGAGGAGGTAGCTTATTGGTTGTTGAGAAGAGGCGATCCAAAGAGGAGAAGGTGCTGTGAGTTCCTTTCTACCCACTGCAGGGGCTGAAGTAATGGAAGATGTGAAGCTATATCGACCAGAGAGAAAGCTTATGCCAGCCTAAAAGGGTATGTTGGCCAGTACATTTAGCTCCTTACTTTTTTTCTAAATAAAAAGTAGGAAGAGTATTTTATAAATAGTGTAGTGTATATGTGTGGGTACACATTTGTTAAACCAATACTGCAGAATGCATACAGCTTATACTTAGGCTGCATATTTAGTGCAGTAAAGGAAATGGTCCGTTTTACAATGCATTTTAAATCTTGAACCATGAGCCAAGCAAAGAATGGAACGTAGTTACCAAGTTGTAAATAACTCTTGCAAAGAAAAGCTCTAAATGCCAAGGTGAATGCTGCTTTCTGTCTTAATGAAAGGAGGGGAAATCATGACTTTTGCACTATGTCAAATCCTGTGAATCCACAACAGTCCCAGAGACAATCAAATTGTTCCACAGAGATTCAATGAGACCCTGTTATTTACCTTCTATTTTCTGTGATTCTCATTTTAGTAACTTAAAGGGGCTTATTTTAAAAAAAAACTGAGAATCTACACCTTGCAAACAACCTGATGCATCATACTGGTAGTATATCCAATTCTAAGCAGCAGTTTTCATGATTATGAACGCTTGTTTTTTCTTTGTTGTGAGAATCTCTAAATCTTGCTTCTTTGCCACTTTTGTACATAACATACTGCACATGGATTCAACTTTTCAAGTACTACCTTCCCACTCAACAACAGAAAAAACAACAGAAAACACACTTTTAGTTAATATTGAACAAACTTCTATTTTAGTTTTAGATAAAAGTAGCTTTGCAGAGCCATAATGATTCTGAAAGAATTTAATAAAGTCGCAGGGGAAGAAGTTGGTCATCCGATTGACTGATGTTGATGCTGCTAAGTTGTCCCCACCTGCAAACCAACACACTATATACAGCCTGTTACTAATAGAAACAGAATGCTGTCAGAGTGTGGATCACTAGGGCAAAATGATTTCTGTTCAGATAAGATGACAGCTGTAACTCCTAACTAAACTAGGTTCAACACCAGTTCGTCAGACTTGAGAAGAACTATCTACCTATGGTGACTCTATCTTTGCTACTGCCTGGGGAAAGCCTTAACATTCAGAAGAATATGGTTATATTGAGAGTTATATACTTCCTGATTTTATTTCTAGGCCAGAATGGGAATCTTGCACTTTCTTCCTTCATCTTTTTCAACACAAAACTTCAGTTATAGGAGAAACAGAGAAGTTCCTCCACATCCCAAATCTTCTGTAGTAGCCTCTTTAGTTATAACTAAAAAGGATATGATAGAATGGTTTAGTTACAGTTTGGGAGGATATGGATATGATTTACAGACTTCTTCAATGGATTGTCATCTTTTCCCTCCATAATGTAAGCACCTTGGGTGGAAAGGCAAGACTTCAATGGATGAAGACACAAAACTGATTTCCACAAAAGGACTAGCAGAACTTACAACAAGATTTTAAATATGAAGATGGTAATTGCATCAAAAGATTTGTGTATTTATTGACTACTATCTTGCAAGAGGTTAGCCATTATAGCAGGTAAAAAGTCTTTCTCAGAAGCACTACAAAAAGCATCAGTGGAAAACAAGTCCTCATAAATCAATCGTTGCTTATCCTTCCTTCTGATCCAAAATCCAAAACATTTTGATAACTTATATCAATCAGTTAATGACTTGTATTATAAAAATAACCTGAGGTTGGAGTCTACTAAAATCAAACATAAACTATATACATAAGAAGAGGTGCCTCTTTGGTTATAGATAAATCTCATGCAAGCCAACATCCAAAGATAATGTCAATAAACAAGGATTTGAATATCTAATGGAATTTATAGATGCTGGAAATGTTCACCAAGCTAGGCAATCTCCCGTTCTTCAGGAGAGTAGCAAGGATTAGATTAAGTACCTGCTGCAGGTAAGGTTAGGCTCAAATCGACTTTGATGTTCAAGAATTCAAATCCTTCATGTACAAAGTCCAGTGTTTTCAGAGTCAAGCTCCACTCCTAATCATCCACTAAATTCAACCAAATACAGTAGTATTCTTTAACTCAGCAGGATGTAAAAGAAACCTACCATAAAAGGTGCAACTCTGCTAACTAGAGTATTGTCACCAGCCTGGGGGCTTCTCGCATTCTGTTTTTCTTCCTTGGGTTCCACTTCTTTTCTGAGAAACACCTGTAGGAAAAATTAGCACGGTGAAGATTTATTACGTCCCAATTATGGAAAATCACTGGAGAATAATCAAGTAGCTAAGTTGCTAAGGGAGCAATGGCAAAATGCAAACTTTTCAATGTTACTGTGTTTTATCAAATCCTCATCCTGATTATGCTTTAAGACACAGGTGTCAAACTCAATCGCGTCACGTGACATATTGCGATGTTTTTTGGTCTTTGCGGAGCCGGGGTGAGTGTAGCCTGTGTGTGACACATCCGGCCCGCAGACTGCCAGTTTGACACCCCTGCTTTAAGATGAGCATTGCACCCCAATGATTGTCAGTGAGACATGATTTTTAACAAGGGTTCTACCCATTAACTGTTGCTATATTGCAAGCCCACAGGTGGTCATAAGAAAATGAAATACACATTGCTTACATTTTTCTTTCACTTATTTTCATAAGAAATTATCAGTATTTTTT